TAGGAGGAGTTCGTTAAAGTACGAAGTGTGTAAATCATCCAAAATTTGACGTAAAATTCAAAATGGCCGACTTCCTGTTGGGTTTAGGCTATGGCTCCAAGAGACTTTTTTGTGCGTCTGGACAAGATACACGTACCACAGAAAATTCGTGCACGTAGGTGAAACGTGCGGCGGGGGCTGCTTCGTTAAAGTCACTTCCTGTTGCCAGCAGGTGGCGCTATGACTGTGGGTGAATGTCAGCATGTACATGTGTTCAGGGCGGGACTCTCATCCTACATGTACAGTTTGGTCCAGATGTGAGCATGTACACTGAAGTTACGACAACTTCCGTGTCATGGCGAAGAGTTGATCTTTGACGCCACGCCACGGACACGCCCATTGACGAAAACTTGCAAATAGCACAACTTTTCATCTTCAATGCCTTTAGAAGGCACAGCAGAAATTTGAGGTCGGTCGGACTAAATCCCTAGGAGGAGTTCGTTAAAGTACGAAGTGTGTAAATCATCCAAAATTTGACGTAAAATTCAAAATGGCCGACTTCCTGTTGGGTTTAGGCTATGGCTCCAAGAGGCTTTTTTGTGCGTCTGGACAAGATACACGTACCACAGAAAATTCGTGCACGTAGGTGAAACGTGCGGCGGGGGCTGCTTCGTTAAAAGTCACTTCCTGTTGCCAGCAGGTGGCGCTATGACTGTGGGTGAATGTCGCATGTACATGTGTTCAGGGCGGGACTCTCATCCTACATGTACAGTTTGGTCCAGATGTGAGCATGTACACTGAAGTTACGACAACTTCCGTGTCATGGCGAAGAGTTGATCTTTGACGCCACGCCACGGACACGCCCATTGACGAAAACTTGCAAATAGCACAACTTTTCATCTTCAATGCCTTTAGAAGGCACAGCACAAATTTGAGGTCGGTCGGACTAAATCCCTAGGAGGAGTTCGTTAAAGTACGAAGTGTGTAAATCATCCAAAATTTGACGTAAAATTCAAAATGGCCGACTTCCTGTTGGGTTTAGGCTATGGCTCCAAGAGACTTTTTTGTGCGTCTGGACAAGATACACGTACCACAGAAAATTCGTGCACGTAGGTGAAACGTGCGGCGGGGGCTGCTTCGTTAAAGGTCACTTTCTGTTGCCAGCAGGTGGCGCTATGACTGTGGGTGAATGTCGGCATGTACATGTGTTCAGGGCGGGACTCTCATCCTACATGTACAGTTTGGTCCAGATGTGAGCATGTACACTGAAGTTACAACAACTTCCTGTTTCATTGCGAATCATCGACGCCACGGACACGCCCATTGACGAAAACGCGCAAATAGCACAACTTTTCATCGTCAATGCCTTTAGAAGGCACAGCAGAAATTTGACGTCGATCCGACTAAATCCCTAGGAGGAGTTCGTTAAAGTACGAAGTGTGTAAATCATCCAAAAATGGCCGTAAAATTCAAAATGGCCGACTTCCTGTTGACTTTAGGCTATGGGTTCTTGAGGCTTTTTTGTGCGTCTTGATACGATACATGTCCCCAGAAAATTTCGTACATGTAGGTTGAACGTGAACGAGGGGCTAATCATTTCCAATTTTCTAGGTGGCGCTAGCGAGTCATTTTGCCACGCCCATGTGCGAAACTTGTAGAATACGAAATTTTTCACCGGTTCTGACATGTTTGCAAATTTTGGTGAGTTTTCGAGTATGTTTAGGCCATGTCATTTGGGCCTACTTTGCAGAAAAAAAAAATATATATATATATAATCCGAGCAAATTCAATAGGGACCTCGCACGGTCGTGCTCGGGCCCTAATAATAAAGTTGAATAAACAAATAAGGTAATTATAACAAAGGTGAATAAGTAAAGGCACTAATTAAAATATATACATTTATGTCTCCTTGTATAATTTAATTACTACCTACATTTATTTATTTACTTTATTTTTTTGTGTATTTAATTGGATGCTTATTTATTTATTGAGCATTTATTTATTTCTGTATTTATTTCTGACTGTGTCAGGATCGGTCCTCCATACGGGGTGGGAGAGTTATCAAGCACGTAAAGTTTGGTTCAGATGTGAGCATGTACACTGAAGTTACAACAACTTCCTGTGTCATGGCGAAGACTTGATCTCTGACGCCACGCCACGGACACACCCATTGACGAAAACTCGCAAATAGCACAACTTTTCATCTTCAATGCCTTTAGAAGGCACAGCACAAATTTGAAGTCGGTCGGACTAAATCCCTAGGAGGAGTTCGTTAAAGTACGAAGTGTGTAAATCATCCAAAATTTGACGTAAAATTCAAAATGGCCTACTTCCTGTTGATTTTAGGGCATCGCTCCAAGAGGCTTTTTTGTGCGTCTGGACAAGATACACGTACCACAGAAAATTCGTGCACGTAGGTGAAACGTGCGGCGGGGGCTGCTTCGTTAAAGGTCACTTTCTGTTGCCAGCAGGTGGCGCTATGACTGTGGGTGAATGTCGGCATGTACATGTGTTCAGGGCGGGACTCTCATCCTACATGTACAGTTTGGTCCAGATGTGAGCATGTACACTGAAGTTACGACAACTTCCGTGTCATGGCGAAGAGCTGATCTTTGACGCCACGCCACGGACACGCCCATTGACGAAAACTTGCAAATAGCACAACTTTTCATCTTCAATGCCTTTAGAAGGCACAGCACAAATTTGAGGTCGGTCGGACTAAATCCCTAGGAGGAGTTCGTTAAAGTACGAAGTGTGTAAATCATCCAAAATTTGACGTAAAATTCAAAATGGCCGACTTCCTGTTGGGTTTAGGCTATGGCTCCAAGAGACTTTTTTGTGCGTCTGGACAAGATACACGTACCACAGAAAATTCGTGCACGTAGGTGAAACGTGCGGCGGGGGCTGCTTCGTTAAAGGTCACTTTCTGTTGCCAGCAGGTGGCGCTATGACTGTGGGTGAATGTCGGCATGTACATGTGTTCAGGGCGGGACTCTCATCCTACATGTACAGTTTGGTCCAGATGTGAGCATGTACACTGAAGTTACAACAACTTCCTGTTTCATAGCGAATCATCGACGCCACGGACACGCCCATTGACGAAAACTCGCAAATAGCACAACTTTTCATCGTCAATGCCTTTAGAGGCACAGCAGAAATTTGACGTCGATCCGACTAAATCCCTAGGAGGAGTTCGTTAAAGTACGAAGTGTGTAAATCATCCAAAAATGGCCGTAAAATTCAAAATGGCCGACTTCCTGTTGACTTTAGGTATGGGTTCTTGAGGCTTTTTTGTGCGTCTTGATATGATACATGTCCCCAGAAAATTTCGTAGATGTAGGTTGAACGTGAACGAGGGGCTAATTTTTCCAATTTTCTAGGTGGCGCTAGCGAGTCATTTTGCCACGCCCATGTGCGAAACTTGTAGAATACGAAATTTTTCACCGGTTCTGACATGTTTGCAAATTTTGGTGAGTTTTCGAGTATGTTTAGGCCATGTCATTTGGGCCTACTTTGCAGAAAAAAAAAAAAAAAAATAATCCGAGCAAATTCAATAGGGACCTCGCACGGTCGTGCTCGGGCCCTAATAATCCGAGCAAATTCAATAGGGACCTCGCCCGGTCGTGCTCGGGCCCTAATAAAATAAAATAAAATAAAATAATCTTAGCAAATTCAATAGGGACCTCGCACGGTCGTGCTCGGGCCCTAATAATCTTAGCAAATTCAATAGGGACCTCACACGGTCATGCTCGGGCCCTAATAATAATCTTTACAAATTTCAATAGGGACCTCACACGGTCGTGCTCGGGCCCTAAATGTAATCTTTACAAATACAATAGGGACCTCGCACGGTCGTGCCCGGGCCCTAAATATATAATCTTTACAAATTCAATAGGGACCTCACACGGTTCGTGCTCGGGCCCTAATTAAAGCTGCAAGCAGCATTGGGCGGGCCCTCGCACGTGTAGTGTGTCGGGGTGTGAGGTGGCCGTGTTGCATATTCTGGAGCTCTGCTGGTGCGGCTGTGAATTTGCTACGCGCTTCAGACGCGGCATGAAGGTAACGAGTAAAACTGTTATCTACACTAATGAACAAATGAGCTGCAGCTGTGCATGCAGGTGGACGATGACAAGAACAAGGTGATCAACAGAGAGCCGGCCTGGAAAATAACACAGAACACACCAGAGTCTCACAATTTCCACACAGGTTTATTCAATGAGATGCAGCATTTCAAAATGTTGCTCGCACAAGGAAAAAAAAACAGATAACTTGTAAGAGTTAGGCTAATACACATCTAACTGCATTTGTTATGGCACTGTTAGTTCATGCTTCTGTCACTCTGTTCTCCACTTTAGGCAGAAACTAGTAAAGGACAGTTTTACCGCAGAGTTGGCATCCCCTCCTCTGTAAGCTAGCTGCAGTGCATTTACTGTTCTTGAGTAAAAAGCAAAAATAACTAAAAAGCAACAGTGCATAGACGGGTAACTTTATATCAGTGGGGAACTTCTCCCGGGGTGTGAGGTGGCCGTGTTGCATATTCTGGAGCTCTGCCAGTGCGGCTGTGAATCTGCTACACGGTTCCGACGCCGCATGAAGGTGTTATATGTCACTTCCTGTGTCCCCTATGTGGAGCTACATAGCACTTGCCGCTATGAATATAAATCGGTTTTGGTGTGTAGATGTCTGCGGGGTGGGAGAGTTATCAAGCACGTAAAGTTTGGTTCAGATGTGAGCATGTACACTGAAGTTACAACAACTTCCTGTGTCATGGCGAAGAGTTGATATTTGACGCCATGCCACGGACACGCCCATTGACGAAAACTCACAGATAGCACAACTTTTCATCTTCAATGCCTTTAGAAGGCACAGCACAAATTTGAAGTCGGTTGGACTAAATCCCTAGGAGGAGTTCGTTAAAGTATGGAGTGTGTAAATCATCCAAAAATTGCCATAAAATTCAAAATGGCTGACTTCCTGTTGAGTTTGAAGCATAGCTCCAAGAGGCTTTTTGGTACGTCTGGACAGTATACATGTGCCACAGAAATTTCATACATGTAGGTGAAACGTGCGGCGGGGGCTGCTTCGTTAAAGGTCACTTCCTGTTGCCAGCAGGTGGCGCTATGACTGTGGGTGAATGTCGGCATGCATGTGTTCAGGACGGGACTCTAACCCTACATGTACAGTTTGGTGCAGATGTGAGCATGTACACTGAAGTTATAACAACTTCCTGTGTCATGGCGAAGAGTTGATCTTTGATGCCACGACACGGACACGCCCATTGACCAAAACTCACAGATAGCACAACTTTTCGTTCATTAAAGTACGTGTGTAAATCATCCAAAAATTCAAAATGGCTGACTTCCTATTTCGTTTAGGGCATGGGTTCTTGAAGCTTTTTTGTGTGTCTTGATATGATACCTGTCCCCAGAAAATTTCGTGCATGTAGGTTGAACATGGCCGAGGGGCTAATTCTTTCCAATTTTGTAGGTGGCGCTAGTGAGTCATTTTGCCTCGCCCATGCGCGAAACCCATAAAATATGAACTTTTCACTACTTTTGACATGTGTGCAAAGTTTGGTGAGTTTTCAAGTATGTTTAGGCCCCCAAAATTCAGCTTACTTTGCAGAAAAAAGAAAAAAAATTATCCCTACAGTTTCAATAGGGACCTCGCACGCTTCATGCTCGGGTCCTAAATATGATCACAGTGGTATATCCCTCTCTGAGATACATTTAGTTTCTCTCATCTGGTTGTATGGACAAGTCATTTTTTTCTAAGCTGCTGTGTGATAAATGTTGCCAGATGAATATACCATGAATTTTCCCTCCCGCCACATTATGTACTGCGGTCACAGGATTGAAGAATGACATAATTTAACAATAACATGTCTTTATAGTAGTGGCTCCAATTTGTCCCTATTATATACCTATTACCATTATATTAAAAAGGCTGCTGTTAAATTTTATAAATTTACTTTTCAATCAAATCAATTCACTTCTATTGTATTGGGTTCAAGGCAGACATCTCAGAGACAGATATCTCATCAAATGGGGAAATAATAACAGGGCTTTACTAGCTTGCATCAAGCATGCTAATTTCAATATTTATAGCAACATTATAGCAACAACTAGCTGACAAGACTAACCATTTACAAAGCTGCCTAATTGGAAACAGTTTAAAGGTAGCTGTTGCCTTAAAAAGCTGTGGACTTCCAATATGGCTGCCTGAGGGTGCTTTACTGTATGTCACCTGAGCTTAACTTGGTTCCAACATGTCTGATAATCCTGTGTAGCACCATATAGGAGGGGCTAACAAACATAAACTAATTATTCATGAGAAAAAAAAACATATTTACAAAGCACCACATAAGCTGGATAGATAGAAAAGTATGTGTGGACAAAAGCATGACTGCTGTGGTATTTCCCTTTGTACAGTGTTGTGTGTTTATCTCTTGGCATGGCTGATATAGCTGTTCTCGATGCACAGCACGACGTAGGAGCTGGAGCAGCTGCTGGAGCTCTGCTGGATCAGACTACTGCTCTGCAGTGACGACGCCATGCCAGTCAGTGCCCGGTCGCTCGCACGCCATGTCTCGCAGAAGCTGTCAACATGTTGCTGCCCGGCGCTGGTTGACCCGTGCCAAACCATCTTCTCAGGCCTGGGAGAAAGAGAAAAGATGGCATGAATACAGGAAGTTTTGGTGACTTTTTAATGCTTATTTTTGTGTTTTTTGCCACTGTTTATTGCTTTATTTTCAGAATATTAAGAAGTCTATATCATTGTGTTATGTATTTATTGGCCCTTGATTTTTGTCTCACCATGTGCTGTCTCTGAGAATGTCTTTGCCATCAAAGGAGTAGATTAACACATTGTCCTTCATTCTGCCTTCATTGAAGATGGCGTCCCAGCTGTCAAACAGAACCTCGTCCTGACAGAGATGAAACAAAACAATTAGTACAAAAGTCTGGTGAAGACTAGTTTTAAAGTTTTACTTGCAAACAGTACTTGTTTCTACTGTTTGTACTGAGCTAAGCTAACCAGATTTTAGCTGTAGCTTCATATTTAAGCATACAGACATGAGAGTGGTATCAATATCTCATCTGACTCTTGGCAAGAAAGCAAATGAACGTATATTCCAAAATGTCAAACTATTCCTTTAAATGGTTAAAAACCCTCTATTAGCTACCCTCAGGTTGACTATTGGCACACGGTCCCTGTCAGCCTTGCGAACTATGCTGTGGAGATCTTGGAGTTTGGCGGACAGGAAGGCCCGGAAAGTTCCCTTCAATCCGATGGCCTGAGCCTCAGTGAAGCAGCGGTAGTCTGCGCCGCGAATGCCCTGCATGGAGCCGGTCTGGGGGCTGTTAAGGGCGATCAGGTGGAGCTGCGGAAACATGCCCAGTAATAATATTTCATGTTAAAACTTAGAGCAGAGATGTGAGTATAATAGAGGACGCCCTACCGCTGGACCTGAAGTATGATGGTGGACTGGACTCTGGGGCAAAGGAGGAGGTGGTCTTCGCTGAGGAGTGACTGCATTGCGAGTGTCCGGGTATGCAGGACGTTCCTGGGTGGTATAGACAGAATACCTACCGTCTGGTTGATTTAACCGGTCTGAGTAACTTGGAAACCTGGGATCTTTGGGTGCTGGGTACTGCGGATCCGGCTGATATCGTGCATCAGGATTAGGGTGGGTTGGATATTGGGAATCAGGGTTTGATGGGTATCGAGGGCCTGGGTGTGTTGGATGATTCAGATCTGGCCGATGCCCAGAGTCGGGGTGGACCTCAGGTTGCCTTTGGGAGTTGTGTGCGAAGGTGTCGGTGTTGGAGTGGTGGTTTGGGGAGTAGGGGACGACTGGTGGGGGCTCCACAGCTGCAACCTCATTAACCTTAAAATAATATGTATGATATGTATTTAAACGAGGTGTAATACATGATCTGAAGAAGACAAAAAGGAAAAATGACACTCACATTCTCACTGGGTAAAGCAATGTAGTCCCCAAGCTGAAAGAATAAAGGAGACAATTACATAAATATACCTGGGAAGTATTCATATGTTTCTCCAGCTGATTTATCGTCATAAAAAAGGTGAATATTTAACCTGAACTTGGCGAACTCCATCTCTGACCCGTAAGTAGAGATCTGTTTGTTCTACAATGTACACCAGAGAGCCCTCAGGTTGTCTTCTAGCAGTGGCTGTCATGATGTCATAAGACCTCAACACTGTCACCTATAAACGCAAAAACACACTTCATTTTATAGTTGTAAAATAATCTTAAGTACTTTTAGCAATGCTTAGAGTTGTGTTTCAATGGGTGGCAATGGCTGTCTGTTGGTCAGCAGGTCAGTCCTGAAGTATCTCAGCAACTATTGCATGGCTTGCCATAGAATTTTGTACAGATTCTATTGTCCCCAGACGATGAAGCCTACTGCCTTTGGACATCCCCTGACTGTTCCTCTAGCGCCAGCAGCAGGTTGGCATTTGTGGTTTGGAGTGAAATGTCTCAACAACTATTGGAAGGACTGCTATGAAATGTATTTACACACATGTACGTCTCCTTCAGGATGAATTGAAGAATTTAAAAATAAAAATAAAAAACCCCACAGCCATGCCTGCTAACTAGTATGCTAACACAATAAACTAAGAAGGTGATCACGTGGTATTTGTATTTCATGATATGTTGTTAGATAATAGGGAAATAAAGCAGAAACATCTGAAGGAGTAACAAAGTTTTCTCACCCCTGAGGAGTGTCCAGGTAAGCCAGGCACTCCAGGTGGTCCCGGGGGTCCAGGAATATTGATAGCTGTCATTCAAAGAGTGGTCACATGACTGAACACAGACTTAACGTTGAATATTTGGGTGTGTGGGTTATGATTATAACTCACTCTGTGTGCCCCTATAAGCTACAGGTAAGGATGGCCCTGGAGGTCCAGGCGGCCCGGGAGGTCCAGGTTGCCCGTTATAGCCTCTTCCTGGTTGACCAGGTGGCCCCTGAGGGCCTGGTGGGCCAATGATGGAGTCACCTTTTGGGCCCTAATGGGACAAGGATAGAAAAGCATTTAGATTTCTTTGAGCATAAACCAACGTCGTAAAGTTTTATGTTTTCAGTGTGATCTTACAGGAGGTCCAGGTGCTCCTGGTACTCCGGGTCGACTCCCTCCATAGCGGGGGTCATAATGTCTTCCACCAGGCTCTCCTTTATCTCCTTTGAAGCCCGGACTGCCTTTTTCACCTTTCATCTCATTCTGGATACATAAACATTAAGAATCATCCGAGACATGTAAACAGGACCAACAAAAATCTCGCTGATGCTAATAGTTTAAAGAGGTGGTATTATTCTTTTTGGCTTTTCCCCTCTCCTTTATTGAGTTATATATCTTTTATGTGCATGTAACAAGTTTGCAAAGTGAAAAGCCCAAAAGTCCAGCCCAAAGGGAGTTCCACAGAAAGCACTGCCCTGAACCGCTTGAAAACAGCTCATTTGTAGTCCAGCCCTTCACTTCCTTTACTTGTGACGTCACAATGAAAACGCGTCATAAAGCTTGCCAAGCGGCTAGCGGGGTCAGGCACGCCCTCAAACCATGCTAGTCTGAGCGGAGGCCCTTTGGCTCGCCTCGCCTTTGTTTGGTTTTCCATTGTAGAAATGTTGTACCTGTACCTGCTTCCAGGTACTTTTTTTCGGATCACCTCACCTCTGTCAAGGTTCCAAGCGAGCTGAGGGACACTAAAACGTAACGTGAAAACACGACAGACTGCTGATTGGTCAGAGAGAATATACACTATTAGCAACAGAAGGTTTTATATTTTACAGTTTCGTATGGAATTTCACCACTAAATCAGAATCAGTTTTATTGCCAGGTATGTGTACACATACGAGGAATTTGACTCAGGATTGTACAATGCTCACGATGTGCTTACTTATATAATAATAAAATAATATTAAAGCTGCAAGCAGCGTTGGGCGGGCCCTCGCACTTGTAGCGCGTCCGGGTGTGAGCCGGCCGAGTTGCACATTCTGGAGCTCTGCCGGTACAGCTGTGAATTTGCTACGGGGTTCCGACGCCACATGAAGGTGCTATATGTCACTTCCTGTGTCCCCTATGTAGAGCTACATAGCACTTGCCGCTATGAATATAAATCGGTATTGGTGTGTAGATATCTGCGGGGTGGGAGAGTTATCAAGCACGTAAAGTTTGGTGCAGATGTGAGAATGTACACTGAAGTTACAACAACTTCCTGTGTCATGGCGAAGACTTGATATTTGACGCCACGCCACGGACACGCCCATTGACGAAAACGCGCAAATAGCACAACTTTTCATCGTCAATGCCTTTAGAAGGCACAGCAGAAATTTGACGTCGATCCGACTAAATCCCTAGGAGGAGTTCGTTAAAGTACGAAGTGTGTAAATCATCCAAAAATGGCCGTAAAATTCAAAATGGCCGACTTCCTGTTGACTTTAGGCTATGGGTTCTTGAGGCTTTTTTGTGCGTCTTGATATGATACATGTCCCCAGAAAATTTCGTACATGTAGGTTGAACGTGAACGAGGGGCTAATTTTTTCCAATTTTCTAGGTGGCGCTAGCGAGTCATTTTGCAACGCCCATGTGCGAAACTTGTAGAATACGAAATTTTTCACCGGTTCTGACATGTTTGCAAATTTTGGTGAGTTTTCGAGAATGTTTAGGCCATGTCAGTTGAGCCTACTTTGCAGAAAAAAGAAAAAAATAAAATAAAAAAAAATAATCCGAGCAAATTCAATAGGGACCTCACACGGTCGTGCTCGGGCCCTAAAAATAATCCGAGCAAATTCAATAGGGACCTCGCACGGTCGTGCTCGGGCCCTAATAATCCGAGCAAATTCAATAGGGACCTCGCACGGTCGTGCTCGGGCCCTAATAAATAAATAAATAATCTGAGCAAATTCAATAGGGACCTCACACGGTCGTGCTCGGGCCCCAAAAATAATCCGAGCAAATTCAATAGGGACCTCACACGGTCATGCTCGGGCCCTAAAAATAAAAAATATATATATAATCCGAGCAAATTCAATAGGGACCTCACACGGTCGTGCTCGGGCCCTAAAAATAATCCGAGCAAATTCAATAGGGACCTCGCACGGTCGTGCTCGGGCCCTAAAAAAAAAAATAATCCGAGCAAATTCAATAGGGACCTCGCACGGTCGTGCTCGGGCCCTAATAAATAAATAATCCAAGCAAATTCAATAGGGACCTCACACGGTCGTGCTCGGGCCCTAAAAATAATCTTAGCAAATCCAATAGGGACCTCACACGGTCGTGCTCGGGCCCTAAATATAATAATAAGGTGAAGGTGGATATGATATACAGTTGCATATACACATACATGCATACATGTACACATGTACACAGTGTGATGGAGCATAGTGCAAAGGATGCTGGAAAAAATAAATAAGACCTATAACCTTATGACCTGAGGTAGGTGTATTGGTATACAATATATGCAATATGACATAGTATGAACAGCACTGAAATAGAGAACGGTGAATAAATAAATAATAAGTGGAAACCAGTAAACAGGTGACTGATTAGAGACTGAGTTACTGGGTTATTGCACAGGAATTGACTCCTGTGAGTCAGAAATCAGCTTTTCATCAGAGTGACGGCTTGTGGGAAGGAACTGTTCCTGAGTCTGTTGGTTTTGGCGTACAGTGCTCTGTAGCGCCTACCAGAGGGGAGAAGTTGGAACAGGTTGTGTCCGGGGTGAGATGGATCTGCAGTGATGTTTCCTGCCCGTTTCCTGACTCTGGAAGTCCTGAATGGAGGGCAGGTTGGCACCGATTATTTTTTCTGCAGTCCTGACTGTCCGTTGTAGTCTGTCTGTCCTTTTTGGTGGCAGATCCAAACCAGACAGTGATGAAACTCAACAAACATAACCCATTGGCCTCAGGTGAAGATACCAACGATGGTCGTTCAGTCTTGGCCACAGGTAGTCTCAACGACTGTAACGACTGTCGTCACAACACCAAGGAACACTAACGAACCAGCGGTATCGATGACCCGGGCCAACGACCCCACTGAGGTTAAATAGCTGAGTTTCCCTGCCAGTCAGTCAGAACTGAAGAAGTCCTTTGGATAAGGGACGAAACGTCTTCCAGTATCTTCAACCAAGTCCAGTTGCCCTTCATTTTAACCCTCGTTGGAGACAGTGATGGAGGTGCAGAGAACAGACTGGATGATGGCTGTGTAGAACTGGATAAGCAGCTCCTTAAGCAGGTTGAGCTGACGAAGGAAGTACATCCTCTGCTGGGCCTTCTTGATGATCGTGTCAGTGTTGGGCTCCCACTTCAGGTCCTGGGATATAGTGGATCCCAGAAACCTGAAAGATTCCACAGCAGACACAGGGCTGTTGAGTATGGTGATGGGGGCAGAGTGGGGGGGCTCCTCCTGAAGTCCACGGTCATCTCCACAGTTTTGAGCGTGTTAAGCTCCAGGTTGTTCTGACCGCACCAGAGAGCCAGCTGATCAACCTCCCATCTGTAGGCCGACTCATCACCGTCCCGGATGAGGCCTATGACCGTTGTGTCGTCAGCGAACTTCAGGAGTTTGACAGATGGGTCCCCTGAGGTGCAGTCGTTGGTGTAGAGGGAGAAGAGCAGTGGGGAAAGCACACACCCCTGGGGGGCGCCAGTGCTGATAGTTCGGGTGCTGGATGTGATGTTTCCCAGCCTCACCTGCTGTCAGTCAGGAAGTCTGTGATCCACTGACAGGTGGAGGCTGGCACAGCGAGCTGGGTGAGTTTGGTGCTGAGGATGTCCGGGATAATGGTGTTGAACGCCGAGCTGAAGTCCACGAACAGCATATGTCCCTGGAGAGTCGAGGTGTTGCAGGATGTGATGCAGACCCAAGTTGACAGCATGAGAAATCAGCTGTGTAGATTTCGATTATTGACAGTTTTACGAGAAGTGATGGCGGAACAAAAATGTCCTTGAATATTTTCGGCTGCGCTGTGCTGTGCCAACCCGCGGGAGGAGCATGTGAGGCCGGCCAGCTGCCCTCTGCTCCAGCCATCACACAGACCGCTGCAGCAACAACGGCAGAGGAAAACACAGCTGGAAGATTTTCATACCGCTTATCTGTCTTTACATTCTATGGAATGTTGAAATGTTTTAACTTAAAAAAGAGAAAGCTGTGTGGATCGCTGGTGTGTGTGTCGCATTCAACATTACATTGCGGCAGTTGTGTGTGGCGTCGCTATGACAACATGCTACGTACTATCTCTGGGTACTATCTGCAATGGAAAACGGAGCAGGGCCGAGAAGAGTTAAGTCTATCGATTTGCGCTATGGTAGCATTTTTCGGCAAGGCAGCGTAACATTAGATTGTCACAACACCGGCAACAGTTTAACGTTTAGTCCTAAAAAACGATGCAACTCCGACTCTGTTTGGCCCTGGAAATTCACAATCACAACCTGTAAGTATGCTTTATTGGTTGTGAATTATATTTAAAATAAACACGGCAATGTAACTTCACAGACTGTTCAAGTGCGGAGTTGTTGTAAATGTTGGCTAACACAGCTAAAGTTATAACTATAATGCTAATGTTACACCTGATGTGAAAGCTACTGAGCACACGTTTTATATTGTTTGGCCAATTTTATTTTAAATTGAGTTGAAATATGGTGATTTTTGTAGTGGTTTATGGTAAGATGTGGAACAATGATGTTGTGTGGTTGTGGACTTCTGAGTAACTTATACCATCTGCTAGGTTACGGTCGCAGTCCGAAGCGGCTTTAATTTGGATCACACTACCTTGTTTCTTACGACCACCCTTCTCTGCTTCTGATTGGCTAGTAGTCCTTACCTGGGACCTGCGCATGTGCAACTCCCAACAAAGATTTTGTACAAGTAAGATGCATCACTCTGTAGCTCAAGAGCAGAGCGTACAACACATAGGGTGAAAAGAAGAGCTGCAATGTGCAGTATGAGAAAAATATGGTGTTTTTTGAAAATTAAACCATGTAAACCTGTTCTGGTACAACCCCTAATTAAGATTTTGAACATGAAAATGAGCATAATACCACCACTTTAACATTAAAATCACAATCGTGCGGAAAGTCTACAGAGTTTGGGCTTACCCTCAAAGTGTAAATGTCAACGTTTGACCCGAGACCTGGATCAGAAACAAAATGCTTAGCACTGAATTTGTCTACATACTGAAAACATTTTCTTTTAAGCCTTTTTTGCACTTATGTGCACAGACGATGTGGCGATACCTGGAATTTCAAGTGTCCCTTGTGGTCCACGATCACCTTTCTCTCCTTTAACAGCTATAAACAAGAGGAACAGCAACGACAATTCAACACCAGCAGCTTTCTCTTTTAAGAAATAATCTGACATCTTTTTCAAATATAGATAATTGTTTTCTTGTCGAGAGTTAGATGAGAAGTTTGATATTACTCTCAACTCTCATCTGTGCGCTCAACCTGTTGCTCGAACCAGTTGGTTAACTTAGATTAGCATAACAACTGTACCAGACAGGCTCTACAAAATTCTCCTTCCAGCAACTCTAAAGCTTGCTAACACAATTTATCTGGTTTGTTTAATCTGTTCAAAAACCAAAGTGTAAAAGACAATTTTCCATGGTGACGTGCCAGTCAATTTCTTGGCCGGGACCAGTAACTTCCTGGAGTCTCTGCTGGTTTCTTGGCAATTGGTCCCCTTATAATGTGTTTATTAGTGAGCTTTAGAAGTAGTCTAATTCATGCAAATAACAGGTGGAAACATTTGCTTTGCTTACAGTCTGAACACACGTCAAGAGGTGTTAGTACCTTCCGACAGAGCCAGGCTAGCTGTTTCCCCCCCGTTTCCAGTCTTTATGCTAAACTTAGCTAACTGTTTGGCTTTTGACTGCAGTTTCATATTTTAGCATGCAGACATGAGAGTGGCATCAGTCTTATCATCTACCTCTTGGTAAGAAAACAATATAAGCGTTTTTCTCAAACATCATAACTTCTTTCAAATTTCATGAATGAATTTACCTGGATAATACGTAGCGTAATCTTCATGTCCCTGAAATAAATGAAAGATAAAGAGAAAATTAAAGCTGCAAGCAGCGTTGGGCGGGCCCTCGCACTTATAAGCGCGTCCGCGTGTGAGCCGGCCGAGTTGCATATTCTGGAGCTCTGCCGGTGCGGCTGTGAATTTGCTACGCGGTTATGACGCCGCATGAAGGTGTTATATGTCACTTCCTGTGTCCCCTATGTGGAGCTACATAGCACTTGCCGCTATGAATATAAATCGGTGTTGGCGTGTAGATGTCTGCGGGGTGGGAGAGTTATCAAGCACGTAAAGTTTGTTTCAGATGTGAGCATGTACACTGAACAATAATGTACCCAAACAATAAAATAAATTCCTTTTATATTTCCCTGCCTTGTTGTTTATGTGTACATACAGAGGAAGAATGTGAGAACAGCACACATTTCATCGTTACTGTGTGTTAGAGCACGGGAGAACAGTGGATACTTTTAATACAGCCCACACCCCTAATACTGTGTAACTATAACAAGTAGAGAACAGAAGAAAAAGATGTTCTTTCTTTACAACTGTCTGCATAGCTTATTCATATTGTATAATGAATGAAAATAAATAGGCCTACTAGGCTCCTCTCTACTTTGACATTTAAGATTAGCTGGTTTGGTCCACCTTCATACACATGTGACATTACTGTACAACTTGAGAAAGGTTAGTTGTTTTCTGCTCCAGCCTGCCTAAAAGAAAAGCGTTTTTGGGATTAAATGGACTTTATTAGCTGCTGCAGTGCAGGATGAACTCAGAATAGACCCATTTCTCACCTTATTATTCTAAATCATGCAACGAAGAAGAAGAAATGCATAATAAATCCTGGGACAAAATCTGTCCACAGCATGTAGTCTGATGAACAAGACTTGTGTTATAGCTGACTTGGGCAGTGAAATGTTTAATTTTTTAATTCATGTGGTCATAGTTGTCCACAACTCAAATCAGAATATAAGAAGAAATGTTTTATACCACCTCAAGAAGGCTTCCTATCAGAAAGTTAGGAAGGTATTTCAAATGTACAACTGCAGTACTTAAATCTAAGTAAAGTAATTTCCCTGACATTTTTGTGTTACTTTACTTTTAATAGACCCATGTAAGAGGTTTTATACTTCCTGTGAGTATAATCCAATCAATCTTATTTTCATACTGTATATCCGTTGTGTAATTTGATAAATTGTGTTGTATGTCGTGCTCGCATCTCAGAGAAGACTCTGACTGCAACATGCGTCTTTGTAAAGAGAGAAACGGACAGAAAAAGTCTCTAACTCTGCCTGTCAGCTCGCTCTGCTCCGTTAAAACTGAATTTACCATACAGAATTGAATACGAGTGCACTCCAGATTTAGCTGCAGCCAGCTGACTGTGTGCTTCTCTCTATACCGCAGTTCTGTGTCCATGCATGCAGCAAACTGAAAGCACTGTCTGTCGGAGCGTCTACATGAAAAGAGAAGGAAGACATGGCTGGTAGTATTGTCTTCAGAGTTGTTAAACACCTCAGCGCACTGAAGGAAGCCATCTGACTGTGTGAGGGGCAAGATCGTTGATGTCTGCAGGCAGAGTAGAGCTCTCCTGTCTGACTGGTCCACCAATTGCAGAGAAGATGACCCCTTGAGTTATCAAGCACGTAAAGTTTGGTTCAGATGTGAGCATGTACACGTAAGTTACAACAACTTCCTGTGTCATGGTGAAGACTTGATCTCTGACGCCACGCCACGGACACACCCATTGACGAAAACTCGCAAATAGCACAACTTTTCATCTTCAATGCCTTTAGAAGGCACAGCACAAATTTGAAGTCGGTCGGACTAAATCCCTAGGAGGAGTTCGTTAAAGTACGAAGTGTGTAAATCATCCAAAATGTGACGTAAAATTCAAAATGGCCGACTTCCTGTTGGTTTTAGGGCATCGCTCCAAGAGACTTTTTTGTGCGTCTGGACAAGATACACGTACCACAGAAAATTCGTGCACGTAGGTGAAACGTGCGGCGGGGGCTGCTTCGTTAAAAGTCACTTCCTGTTGCCAGCAGGTGGCGCTATGACTGTGGGTGAATGTCAGCATGTACATGTGTTCAGGGCGGGACTCTCATCCTACATGTACAGTTTGGTGCAGATGTGAGCATATACACTGAAGTTACAACAACTTCCTGTGTCATGGCAAAGACTTATCTTTGACGCCACGCCATGGACACGCCCATTGACGAAAACTCGCAAATAGCACAACTTTTCATCTTCAATGCCTTTAGAAGGCACAACAGAAATTTGAAGTCGGTCGGACTAAATCCCTAGGAGGAGTTCGTTAAAGTACGAAGTGTGTAATCATCCAAAATGGCCGTAAAATTCAAAATGGCCGACTTCCTGTTGGGTTTAGGCTATGGCTCCAAGAGACTTTTTTGTGCATCTGGACAAGATACACGTACCGCAGAAAATTCGTGCATGTAGGTGAAACGTGCGGCGGGGGCTGCTTCGTTAAAAGTCACTTCCTGTTGCCAGCAGGGAGCGCTATGACTGTGGGTGAATGTCAGCATGTACATGTGTTCAGGGCGGGACTCTCATCCTACATGTACACTTTGGTCCGGATGTGAGCATGTACACTGAAGTTACAACAACTTCCTGTTTCATTGCGAATCATCGACGCCACGGACACGCCCATTGACGAAAACTCGCAAATAGCACAACTTTTCATAATCAATGCCTTTAGAAGGCACAGCAGAAATTTGACGTCGATCCGACTAAATCCCTAGGAGGAGTTCGTTAAAGTACGAAGTGTGTAAATCATCCAAAAATGGCCATAAAATTAAAATGGCCGACTTCCTGTTGACTTTAGGCTATGGGTTCTTGAGGCTTTTTTGTGCGTCTTGATATGATACATGTCCCCAGAAAATTTCGTACATGTAGGTTGAACGTGAACGAGGGGCTAATCTTTTCCAATTTTCAGGTGGCGCTAGCGAGTCATTTTGCCACGCCCATGTGCGAAACTTGTAGAATACGAAATTTTTCACCGGTTCTGACATGTTTGCAAATTTTGGTGAGTTTTCGAGTATGTTTAGGCCATGTCAGTTGGGCCTACTTTGCAGAAAAAAAAAAAAAAATATATAATATATATATATATATAATATATAAGCTGCAAGCAGCGTTGGGCGGGCCCTCGCACTTGTAGCGCGTCCGGCGTGAGCCGGCCGAGTTGCATATTCTGGAGCTCTGCCGGTGCGGCTGTGAATTTCCTACGCGGTTCCGACGCCGCATGAAGGTGTTATGTCACTTCCTGTGTCCCCTATGTGGAGCTACATAGCACTTGCCGCTATGAATATAAATCGGTATTGGCGTGTAGATGTCTGCGGGGTGGGAGAGTTATCAAGCACGTAAAGTTTGTTTCAGATGTGAGCATGTACACTGAACAATAATGTACCCAAACAATAAAATAAATTCCTTTTATATTTCCCTGCCTTGTTGTTTATGTGTACATACAGAGGAAGAATGTGAGAACAGCACACATTTCATCGTTACTGTGTGTTAGAGCATGGGAGAACAGTGGATACTTTTAATACAGCCCACACCCCTAATACTGTGTAACTATAACAAGTAGAGAACAGAAGAAAAAGATGTTCTTTCTTTACAACTGTCTGCATAGCTTATTCATATTGTGTAATGAATGAAAATAAATAGGCCTACTAGGCTCCTCTCTACTTTGACATTTAAGATTAGCTTGTTTGATCCACCTTCATACACATGTGACATTACTGTACAACTTGAGAAAGGTGAGTTGTTTTCTGCTCCAGCCTGCCTAAAAGAAAAGCGTTTTTGGGATTAAATGGACTTTATTAGCTGCTGCAGTGCAGGATGAACTCAGAATAGACCCATTTCTCACCTTATTATTCTAAATCATGCAACGAAGAAGAAGAAATGCATAATAAATCCTGGGACAAAATCTGTCCACAAATACTGTACAGCATGTAGTCTGATGAACAAGACTTGTGTTATAGCTGACTTGGGCAGTGAAATGTTTTTTTAATTCATGTGGTCATAGTTGTCCACAACTCAAATCAGAATATAAGAAGAAATGTTTTATACCACCTCAAGAAGGCTTCCTATCAGAAAGGTAGGAAGGTATTTCAAATGTACAACTGCAGTACTTAAATCTAAGTAAAGTAATTTCCCTGACATTTTTGTGTTACTTTACTTTTAATAGACCATGTAAGAGGTTTTATACTTCCTGTGAGTATAATCCAATCAATCTTATTTTCATACTGTATATCCGTTGTGTAATTTGATAAATTGTGTTGTATGTCGTGCTCGCATCTCAGAGAAGACTCTGACTGCAACATGCGTCTTTGTAAAGAGAGAAACGGACAGAAAAAGTCTCTAACTCTGCCTGTCAGCTCGCTCTGCTCCGTTAAAACTGAATTTACCATACAGAATTGAATACGAGTGCACTCCAGATTTAGCTGCAGCCAGCTGACCGTGTGCTTCTCCCTATACCGCAGTTCTGTGTCCATGCATGCAGCAAACTGAAAGCACTGTCTGTCGGAGCGTCTACGTGAAAAGAGAAGGAAGACATTGCTGGTAGTATTGTCTTCAGAGTTGTTAAACACCTCAGCGCACTGAAGGAAGCCATCTGACTGTGTGAGGGGCAAGATCGTTGATGTCTGCAGGCAGAGTAGGAGCTCTCCTGTCTGACTGGTCCACCAATAGCAGAGAAGATGACCCCTTGTCAAGCACGTAAAGTTTGGTTCAGATGTGAGCATACACACTGAAGTTACAACAACTTCCTGTGTCATGGCGAAGACTTGATCTTTGACGCCACGCCACGGACACGCCCATTGACGAAAACTCGCAAATAGCACAACTTTTCATCTTCAATGCCTTTAGAAGGCACAGCAGAAATTTGAGGTCGGTCGGACTAAATCCCTAGGAGGAGTTCGTTAAAGTACGAAGTGTGTAAATCATCCAAAATTTGACGTAAAATTCAAAATGGCCGACTTCCTGTTGGTTTTAGGGCATCGCTCCAAGAGGCTTTTTTGTGCGTCTGGACAAGATACACGTACCACAGAAAATTCGTGCACGTAGGTGAAACGTGCGGCGGGGCTGCTTCGTTAAAAGTCACTTCCTGTTGCCAGCAGGTGGCGCTATGACTGTGGGTGAATGTCAGCATGTACATGTGTTCAGGGCGGGACTCTCATCCTACATGTACAGTTTGGTGCAGATGTGAGCATGTACACTGAAGTTACGACAACTTCCGTGTCATGGCGAAGAGCTGATCTTTGACGCCACGCCACGGACACGCCCATTGACGAAAACTCGCAAATAGCACAACTTTTCATCTTCAATGCCTTTAGAAGGCACAGCAGAAATTTGAGGTCGGTCGGACTAAATCCCTAGGAGGAGTTCGTTAAAGTACGAAGTGTGTAAATCATCCAAAATTTGACGTAAAATTCAAAATGGCCGACTTCCTGTTGGTTTTAGGGCATCGCTCCAAGAGGCTTTTTTGTGCGTCTGGACAAGATACACGTACCACAGAAAATTCGTGCACGTAGGTGAAACGTGCGGCGGGGGCTGCTTCGTTAAAAGTCACTTCCTTGCCAGCAGGTGGCGCTATGACTGTGGGTGAATATCAGCATGTACATGTGTTCAGGGCGGGACTCTCATCCTACATGTACAGTTTGGTGCAGATGTGAGCATGTACACTGAAGTTACGACAACTTCCGTGTCATGGCGAAGAGCTGATCTTTGACACCACGCCACGGACACGCCCATTGACGAAAACTTGCAAATAGCACAACTTTTCATCTTCAATGCCTTTAGAAGGCACAGCAGAAATTTGAGGTCGGTCGGACTAAATCCCTAGGAGGAGTTCGTTAAAGTACGAAGTGTGTAAATCATCCAAAATTTGACGTAAAATTCAAAATGGCCGACTTCCTGTTGGGTTTAGGCTATGGCTCCAAGAGACTTTTTTGTGCGTCTGGACAAGATACACGTACCACAGAAAATTCGTGCACGTAGGTGAAACGTGCGGCGGGGGCTGCTTCGTTAAAGGTCACTTTCTGTTGCCAGCAGGTGGCGCTATGACTGTGGGTGAATGTCGGCATGTACATGTGTTCAGGGCGGGACTCTCATCCTACATGTACACTTTGGTCCGGATGTGAGCATGTACACTGAAGTTACAACAACTTCCTGTTTCATGGCGAATCATCGACGCCACGGACACGCCCATTGACGAAAACTCGCAAATAGCACAACTTTTCATCGTCAATGCCTTTAGAAGGCACAGCAAAATTTGACGTCGATCCGACTAAATCCCTAGGAGGAGTTCGTTAAAGTACGAAGTGTGTAAATCATCCAAAAATGGCCTAAAATTCAAAATGGCCGACTTCTGTTACTTTAGGCTATGGGTTCTTGAGGCTTTTTTGTGCGTCTTGATACGATACATGTCCCCAGAAAATTTCGTACATGTAGGTTGAACGTGAACGAGGGGCTAATCTTTTCCAATTTTCTAGGTGGCGCTAGCGAGTCATTTTGCAACGCCCATGTGCGAAACTTGTAGAATACGAAATTTTTCACCGGTTCTGACATGTTTGCAAATTTTGGTGAGTTTTCGAGTATGTTTAGGCCATGTCATTTGGGCCTACTTTGCAGAAAAAAAAAAAAAAAAAAAAAAAATCCGAGCAAATTCAATAGGGACCTCGCACAGTCGTGCTCGGGCCCTAATAATCCGAGCAAATTCAATAGGGACCTCGCACGGTCGTGCTCGGGCCCTAACAAGAGAAAACGAAGATTATCATATCCATAAAGTAGCAATTTATCAATTTTACAGGACACACAACTGCTAAAATGCCACAGTAAATGTTTCTTACTCTGAGAATGTCGACGGGAGCAGAAGATCCAGGAGGTCCTGGGGGCCCTGGTGGACCTGGAGGACCCTAGGAAACAAAACAAATTGATTACTGTATGTTAATGGCCGGATCATAAAAACTGCATTAATTCAGAAGCAAACGGGACAAAATCTGTGATACTCACGGCGTAACCATATCCAGACCCACTGCCTGAATCTCCCTTCTCTCCTCTTGCACCGTTCAGCCCCGGCCGACCCTACAATAAAACTCACAGCATTCAGATTCATATTTAATTCATTTAACATAAAATATTAACAAGTTTAAAGCCCATCTGTGTATCAAATAAAACCTTTGGAGACTCCTAGTGGCAGGATAGACTTATCTGTCCCATTTTTAACTGACTTGAAATGAAAATGTAATTTGAAGAAATCGACTTACTGGTCTACCTGGAAGCCCAATTTCTCCCTTTGGACCTGGAGGACCATATGGACCCTGAAAATAAAAATGTTAATACATGTTTATTTTCCTGATGAGATGCTGTTAGCTTACTGTATGAGCAAAACACGCACCGGAGGTCCCACAGGGCCAGAGGGTCCTCTCTCGCCCTGTTAATGAATACACAAGCACGCTGTAAACACTGATATTTTAGAAATGAATTATTGATTTTGAGTTATTTACAATTAATTAAATACTTAAACTCCTGGATCATGAAAAAGTATTCTATAATTTGAGCTGTGATACAAACATTAGTGCTAGCTTGTTATCTGTTTTTTACCGGCTGTCCTGCCAGGCCACCAAGGTACAGAGGTCTCCCATCAGGCCCCATGATGATACCCGGCTCTCCTTTCTCTCCCTTAACAAAAAAAAGATACAAAGACAAATGAACAAATAATATGAACTGCCACCTTGGTGTCAAGATTAAGATTTTGTTGTCTTGTTATCTCTTGATATCAGAAAGTCTACCCAGATATCAAATGTGCTGCATTTATTTTGTAAAGCGAGATATTAACATTGTTTTCCTACAGTTGAACGGTTGAACCTTTAACATCCTTTAATATCCAGAAAAAAAAGCGTTCAGTGCGATCTTAGCCAGAGTTGCCATCTTAAACGTTATTTATATGATTGCTAGATAGAAAGAATGAAAGATTCAATGTACGATCCTGACAATCCTCATACCTTATTTGCAAAACCATGAATTCATCATTAGTGCAATGTAACAAAGTACATTTACTCAAGTACTTTACAAATGTGAGGGTACTCTAATTTTATACAATTTTATACACACATATTCACTTTACTCCACTACAATTCAGAGGAAAATGTACTTTTTACTGCTCAATATGTATCTGACATTTTTAGTTTTTTTCCATCCAAAACATGTGAAGAACTTCATATTCAAATAGTATGCTTTTTCATAGATAAGTAGGGGTGAAAGTTGATTTGTCAATTAAGTGATTGACAAAAAAATTAATTGGCAAATATTGTGATAATTGTTTTTTAATTTTTAATGCAACCGACTTCAAATTTCTGCTGTGCCTTCTAAAGGCATTGAAGATGAAAAGTTGTGCTATCTGTGAGTTTTCGTCAATGGGCGTGTCCATGGCGTGGTGTCAAAGATCAACTCTTCGCCATGACACAGGAAGTTGTCGTAACTTCAGTGTACATGCTCACATCTGGACCAAAGTGTACATGTATGATGAGAGTCCCGCCCTGAACACATGTACATGCCGACATTCACCCACAGTCATAGCGCCACCTGCTGGCAACAGGAAGTGCCCTTTAACTAAGCAGCCCCCGCCGCACGTTTCACCTACGTGCACAAATTTTTTGTGGTGCGTGTATCTTGTCCAGACGCACCAAAAAGCCTCTTGGAGCGATGCCTGAAACTAACAGGAAGTCGGCCATTTTGAATTTTATGGCCATTTTTAGATGATTTACACACTCCGTACTTTAACACTTTAACTCCTCCTAGGGATTTAGTCCGACCGACTTCAAATTTGTGCTGTGCCTTCTAAAGGCATTGAAGATGAAAAGTTGTGCTATTTGCGAGTTTTCGTCAATGGGCGTGTCCGTGGCGTGGCGTCAAAGATCAAGTCTTCGCCATGACACAGGAAGTTGTTGTAACTTCAGTGTACATGCTCACATCTGAACCAAACTTTACGTGCTTGATAACTCTCCCACCCCGCAGAAATCTACACACCAATACCGATTTATATTCATAGCGGCAAGTGCTATTTAGCTCCACATAGGGGACACAGGAAGTGACTTATAACACCTTCATGCGGCGTCGGAACCGCATTGCAAATTCACAGCCACACCGGCAGAGCTCGAGAATATGCAACTCGGCCGGCTCACACCCGGACACGCTACAAGTGCGAGGGCCCGCCCAACGCTGCTTGCAGCTTTAATTCAATTTTTCTTATTTTTTCTTCCCCTCTTGTGGACTGGCAAGTTAGTATTTACTTACATTAACACACCCCATTGCAGATAACCAGCAAACTGGCCCTTTAAGAAACTTATTCCAGGTTATTTGTTCAGTGTCCTACTCTCTGGAATCTAAAGTGAGAGAGGATTGAAAGGGTTGACTAGGAAATCGACTTGAAGCTGGAGTTAGATATTTAATACTGACGATCAGGTCAGTCCCTTGTATTAAAACTAGCTTGTTATCAGGGGTTGCCTTTCTTTTCAAAGTCGTATCTGAATTTATTATGCGCCAAGGGCGCCCAGAGTTGGTGACCCGAGAGAGGGGGGTTTCCTTGTGGTGGGCCACTTCTCGCTACAATATGGATATAAAGAATTAACTATTTTACAACTCAATGGTGGGACAAAAATATCTTTGCAGTGTGCAATGTTGCACAAAAATACATTCAACAACATATTTTAGTGTGTAAAATACTAAATCAATTAATAAAAAGGTGGATTATCTTACCTTAGGTGCATATCCTGGAGGACCTGTGTCTCCTTTGTCTCCTTTTGGTCCCCCGGGCCCCTAGATGAGAACACATTATATGCGTCCTCCCTTCAATTTCTGTATATTGATCAGACTTTGGATTAGACCAAACTGAACTGTGCAATTGTAATAGTGATACACACCTGGGATCCTGGTCGACCAGGAACAAAAGCGCCTCCCTAAAGAAGAGAGAACGATAACGTGAAGAAAAATGAACAAATATTATGTTGAAATAAGTTTACTTTAGTAAGGTTTATGGTGAGGTCAGTTAAGGGGCCACCCACCTGCAACCCTTCTTTCCAATATACGTCATTATACTACAGCAAGACACAGTTAGGTCAGTTAGTTTGGAAGTGAACAAACTTAGCAAGCAGTGACTGTTAGTGAATATGAGTAACTCAAGCAGAAACTGAAAAAGAAAGTATTTTAGTGATTAAATGACAGGCATGTTATGTGAGGGTTAATTTTATATATTTGACCCCTCTTGGTTAATGATTTGACCTCTGACTCACTTCAGCTGCTGTCTTGTACATGATCTGTCCTGGAGGTCCGGGAGGCCCTGGAGGTCCAGGTGGTCCGCCAACTCGCCCTGGCAGACCCTGCCACACAAATTGGACAGAAAATGTATCCATTGGAAGAGCAAATAACACATATTGAGTATATACTGTATTGATATATTAAGAAAATAAAAAAAGATTTGATTATCTAGAACAGGGGTGTCAAACTCATTTTCACCAAGGGCCACATAAGCATTATGGTTACCCTCAAAGGGCCAGTTGCAACTGTAACAAACGTAACTACTCCTTAACATATTGTTAAATAACTGTCTCTTTATTAGGGCCCGAGCACGAACCGTGCGAGGTCCCTATTAAATTTGTAAAGATTATTAGGGCCCGAGCACGACTGTGCGAGGTCCCTATTGAATTTGCAAAGATTATATTTTTAGGGCCCGAGCACAACCGTGCGAGGTCCCTATTGAATATGTAAAGATTATTAGGGCCCAAGCATGACCGTGCGAGGTACCTATTGAATTTGTCAAAATTATATATATATATATATATACACATTTTTTTTTTTTTCTGCAAAGTAAGCTCCATTTTGGGGACCTGAGCATACTCGAAAACTCACCAAACTTTGCACACATGTCAGAACTGGTGAAGGATTTCGTATTTTATGGGAGTCGCGCATGGGCGTGGCAAAATGACTCGCTAGCGCCACCTAGAAAATTGGAAAAAATTAGCCCCTCGTTCACGTTCAACCTAACTCCTCCTAGGAGAAGTTCGTTAAAGTACGAAGTGTGTAAATCATCAAAAAATGGCCGTAAAATTCAAAATGGCCGACTTCCTGTTGACTTTAGGGTATGGGTTCTTGAGGCTTTTTTGTGCGTCTTGATATGATACATGTCCCCAGAAAATTTCGTACATGTAGGTTGAATGTGAACGAGGGGCTAATTTTTTCCAATTTTCTAGGTGGCGCTAGCGAGTCATTTTGCCACGCCCATGCGCGAAACCCATAAAATACGAAATTTTTCACCGGTCCTGACATGTGTGCAAAGTTTGGCTGTGAATTTCCTACGCGGTTCAGACGCCGCATGAAGATGCTATATGTCACTTCCTGTGTCCCCTATTGGGAGCTATATAGCACTTGCCGCTATGAATAAAAATCGGTATTGGTGTGTAGATGTCTGCGGGGTGGGACAGTTATCAAGCACGTAAAGTTTGTTTCAGATGTGAGCATGTACACTGAACAATAATGTACCCAAACAATAAAATAAATTCCTTTTATATTTCCCTGCCTTGTTGTTTATGTGTACATACAGAGGAAGAATGTGAGAACAGCACACATTTCATCGTTACTGTGTGTTAGAGCATGGGAGAACAGTGGATACTTTTAATACAGCCCACACCCCTAATACTGTGTAACTATAACAAGTAGAGAACAGAAGAAAAAGATGTTCTTTCTTTACAACTGTCTGCATAGCTTATTCATATTGTGTAATGAATGAAAATAAATAGGCCTACTAGGCTCCTCTCTACTTTGACATTTAAGATTAGCTTGTTTGATCCACCTTCATACACATGTGACATTACTGTACAACTTGAGAAAGGTGAGTTGTTTCCTGCTCCAGCCTGCCTAAAAGAAAAGCATTTTTGGGATTAAATGGACTTTATTAGCTGCTGCAGTGCAGGATGAACTCAGAATAGACCCATTTCTCACCTTATTATTCTAAACCATGCAACGAAGAAGAAGAAATGCATAATAAATCCTGGGACAAAATCTGTTCACAAATACTGTACAGCATGTAGTCTAATGAACAAGACTTGTGTTATAGCTGACTTGGGCAGTGAAATGTTTAATTTTTTTAATTCATGTGGTCATAGTTGTCCACAACTCAAATCAGAATATAAGAAGAAATGTTTAATACCACCTCAAGAAGGCTTCCTATCAGAAAGGTAGGAAGGTATTTCAAATGTACAACTGCAGTACTTAAATCTAAGTAAAGTAATTTCCCTGAGATTTTTGTGTTACTTTACTTTTAATAGACGCATGTAACAGGTTTTATATTCCTGTGAGTATAATCCAATCAATCTTATTTTCATACTGTATATCCGTTGTGTAATTTGATAAATTGTGTTGTATGTCGTGCTCGCATCTCAGAGAAGACTCTGACTGCAACATGCATCTTTGTAAAGAGAGAAACGGACAGAAAAAGTCTCTAACTCTGCCTGTCAGCTCGCTCTGCTCCGTTAAAACTGAATTTACCATACAGAATTGAATACGAGTGCACTCCAGATTTAGTTGCAGCCAGCTGACCGTGTGCTTCTCTCTATACCGCAGTTCTGTGTCCATGCATGCAGCAAACTGAAAGCACTGTCTGTCGGAGCGTCTACGTGAAAAGAGAAGGAAGACATTGCTGGTAGTATTGTCTTCAGAGTTGTTAAACACCTCAGCGCACTGAAGGAAGCCATCTGACTGTGTGAGGGGCAAGATCGTTGATGTCTGCAGGCAGAGTAGGAGCTCTCCTGTCTGACTGGTCCACCAATAGCAAAGAAGATGACCCCTTGAGACACAGTCCCTCCTCATTTGCATAATGAGGCAGAAATGCATACAAAACTTTTAAAAAACAGGCAGAAATAAATACCATGGGTGAAAATAAATAAGGTAAATAAATACAAAGGAAGAATAAAACAGACAAAAATATTAAAACACACATAAATAAATACATTTTAAAAATTAGTAATAAATAAAGTTGAATAAACAAATAAGGTAATTATAACAAAGGTGAATAAGTAAAGGCACTAATTAAAATATATACATTTATGTCTCCTTGTATAAATTAATTACTACCAACATTTATTTATTAGGGCCCGAGCACGACCGTGTGAGGTCCCTATTGAATTTGCTCGGATTATATATATATATATTTTTTTTTTTAGGGCCCGAGCACGACCGTGCGAGGTCCCTATTGAATTTGCTCGGATTATATATATATTTTTTATTTTTTATTTTTTTCTGCAAAGTAGGCCCAACTGACATGGCCTAAACATACTCGAAAACTCACCAAAATTTGCAAACATGTCAGAACCGGTGAAAAATTTCGTATTCTACAAGTTTCGCACATGGGCGTGGCAAAATGACTCGCTAGCGCCACCTAGAAAATTGGAAAAGATTAGCCCCTCGTTCACGTTCAACCTACATGTACGAAATTTTCTGGGGACATGTATCATATCAAGACTATTGGTGGACCAGTCAGACAGGAGAGCTCCTACTCTGCCTGCAGACATCAACGATCTTGCCCCTCACACAGTCAGATGGCTTCCTTCAGTGCGCTGAGGTGTTTAACAACTCTGAAAACAATACTACCAGCAATGTCTTCCTTCTCTTTTCACGTAGACGCTCCGACAGACAGTGCTTTCAGTTTGCTGCATGCATGGACACAGAACTGCGGTATAGGGAGAAGCACACGGTCAGCTGGCTGCAGCTAAATCTGGAGTGCACTCGTATTCAATTCTGTATGGTAAATTCAGTTTTAACGGAGCAGAGCGAGCTGACAGGCAGAGTTAGAGACTTTTTCTGTCCGTTTCTCTCTTTACAAAGACGCATGTTGCAGTCAGAGTCTTCTCTGAAGAGGGCAATGAAGTCTCAGTAGTACCCGATGCGAGCACCACATACAACACAATTTATCAAATTACACAACGGATATACAGTATGAAAATAAGATTGATTGGATTATACTCACAGGAAGTATAAAACCTGTTACATGCGTCTATTAAAAGTAAAGTAACACAAAATGTCAGGGAAATTACTTTACTTAGATTTCAGGACTGCAGTTTTACATTTGAAATACCTTCCTACCTTTCTGGTAGGAAGCCTTCTTGAGGTGGTATAAAACATTTCTTCTTATATTCTGATTTGAGTTGTGGACAACTATGACCACATGAATTAAAAAAATTAAACATTTCACTGCCCAAGTCAGCTATAACACAAGTCTTGTTCATCAGACTACATGCTGTGGACAGATTTTGTCCCAGGATTTATTATGCATTTCTTCTTCTTCGTTGCATGATTTAGAATAATAAGGTGAGAAATGGGTCTATTCTGAGTTCATCCTGCACTGCAGCAGCTAATAAAGTCCATTTAATCCCAAAAACGCTTTTCTTTTAGGCAGGCTGGAGCAGAAAACAACTCACCTTTCTCAAGTTGTACAGTAATGTCACATGTGTATGAAGGTGGATCAAACCAGCTAATCTTAAATGTCAAAGTAGAGAGGAGCCTAGTAGGCCTATTTATTTTCATTCATTACACAATATGAATAAGCTATGCAGACAGTTGTAAAGAAAGAACATCTTTTTCTTCTGTTCTCTACTTGTTATAGTTACACAGTATTAGGGGTGTGGGCTGTATTAAAAGTATCCACTGTTCTCCCATGCTCTAACACACGGTAACAATGAAATGTGTGCTGTTCTCACATTCTTCCTCTGTATGTAAACATAAACAACAAGGCAGGGAAATATAAAAGGAATTTATTTTATTGTTTGGGTACATTATTGTTCAGTGTACATGCTCACATCTGAAACAAACTTTAAGTGCTTGATAACTCTCCCACCCCGCAGACATCTACACGTCAATACCGATTTATATTCATAGCGGCAAGTGCTATGTAGCTCCACATAGGGGACACAGGAAGTGACATATAACACCTTCATGCGGCGTCATAACCGCGTAGCAAATTCACAGCCGCACCGGCAGAGCTCCAGAATATGCAACTCGGCCGGCTCACACGCGGACGCTTATAAGTGCGAGGGCCCGCCCAACGCTGCTTGCAGCTTTAATTTACTTTATTTTTTTCTGTATTTAATTGGAAGCTTATTTATATTGAGCATTTATTTATTTCTGTATTATTTCTGACTGTGTCAGGATCGGTCCTCCATAGTGGGGTGGGAGAGTTATCAAGCACGTAAAGTTTGGTTCAGATGTGAGCATGTACACTGAAGTTACAACAACTTCCTGTGTCATGGCGAAGACTTGATCTTTGACGCCACGCCATGGACACACCCATTGACGAAAACTCGCAAATAGCACAACTTTTCATCTTCAA